GCATTTCTTAAGGAAGGTGGAAAGAATTGATTCTCTCTCATGAGGAGTTCTAGCACGGTGTAGAGCTTAAAGAAAACACCAACCTCATTATTCTGTATGTTGTCTATGGCTTCTAACTACCCTTTTCCTGTGTGCTAGCATTCTCTTGCTCCTCTTCAACCATCTCAACAGGTTGTTGGCCATCAAACTCCAAACCTGAGAACACCCTACTCAATGAGCCAGTCTCAAGGCCTGACCCAACAATCTACTTGGGATAGATGGGAAGCACTGAAGAGAAGAAGTTCACCAGTTGGTGTTGCTCAGGCAACAGGTTTTGCTGGCAGACAACACGCCCGGATTGTTGCTACTCAGCAAACCACACAGGTGGTGAGGCCTGTTCAGACTCCTAGAACTCCATCTCCACTCCCAGGGAATGCTGACGGGCTTTGGACACCATTGTCCCGGGACCACAGGGGAAATAAGGGAGGCACAACACCAGTCACAAGGTCAGATAGTCCCAGGGATTCCCTACTAGATCCAAACTGGCGCCCTACAGGCCGTATGCGTGGAAGCCTTTCAGGACGAGCTTATTCTGAAGCACTGAATCAGTACATACATAAGCCAACACAGCAAGCTCAAGTTCCCAGACCATCTATTCCACCTAATATGCCACCCCAACTGGAAGTCCTTTTGGCTAATCGAATCGCGCATACCCAGGCAGCGAATCATCCATCCACCACACCAGCCAATGCATACGATATCTCGGGCCTTTTACCTGAGCTTTCTTCAGGAATGCAGTAGAACTAGAGCAGGTATGTAGCTGAGGGTGTATATAACGTAGCTGATTTTGCTTCCCTAATCACTTTGGTACCAGTGCTATAGTACAGGTTATAGGGAAAACCTAGTGCACATATTTTGTTTAAGTCCTAGCCCAAGTGCCACTCCTAGTTCTTACACTACAGTTTGACTTTAATGTTATAATAGGTAAAGTTCATTCGCTTTAATATGGACGAAAAAATAGTTTTATGACTTTACTGTCATAGTCTGTAAATATTTAATGACTATATGTGAATATAACCCTATTTTCGATTTGTAATTCTCCAAGTCTGGCATATCATATACTATTAAGAAATCTCAGGTTTCTACTGAACCAATAGATTGTCAATTAAGCATTGAAGAATTTACAAAATCCTGCGCGTTGAATTGTTGCAGTACTTTTTGTTCATACAAACATAACAGCATCGCGTTAATAAAGAATAAACATACCCTTTCTCTGCTATATAGTATCTTTTCATTTCTGTACAAAGTTGTCAATTTGACTTAATTGCTAGTTAAGTACAAAAGGAAGAAAAGGAGACTTTTTAGGTATTAGCACAATCAGAGGCGAATTTAGGATTTATACTTTATGAGTTCAAATTTTTAGGTTTTAGCATTGAACCCATTATATTTTTAAAGTTATGGGTTCATATCTACTATTTTTGTAATTTTAACGAATTTTTATATATAAATTTTTACTCTGCGTGGAAAGTTATGGGTTCGATTTAACCTGTTGTCAACACTTTACATCCGCCTATGAGCACAACGAAACATAAACAAGTGCGTTCCTTTTCGATTTTAGACGTGCAGATAAACTAGCTATTTTGTATATTACACTTTCGTACGTGTTCAAGTTTTGTGCATGGCCAACTTATCGCAATTTTATGCCATAGTGTTAAGTTAATTGTAACAACTCGTAACCGTATATAAGTAACATACATCATCTATGTATAATAACTTGGAAAATACTATAATTAACTTGCTATATGGCGTTTACCCACCATAAATTTGTGATTATATCCACCTTTTCGTGTGTACTAGTATATGCTGATTTTATAGAATTTATTTGACGGACTCCGATTGTCTTGAAATTTCATAGGTTCATAGGAAATAGCCTAGTGACCAATACTCATTGCTTCACCGTGACTTTTAGGTTCATTTTATAGCATTTCAGGGTCATGTAATACGAATTTATGATTATAACCACTTTTTTCGTGTGTATTAGTACATGCTAATTTTGTAGAATTTTTTTGAAGCACTCTGATTGGCCTGAAATTTCGTAGGTCCATAAGAAATGGCCTAATGATATTGCTTCACACATGACATTCGGGCTCATTTTATGAAGTTTCGTGGTCATGCAATATGGATTTGTGATTATACATTTTTTTCGTATGTATTAGTACATAGTGATTTGTAGAATTTTTTGACGGACTTTTATTGGCCTAAAATTTTGTCGGTCCATAGAAAACGGCCTAGTGACCAATACTCATCGCTTCACCATGATTTTCGGGTTCATTTTTTTTTTTTTTTGGTATTTTGGGATCGTATAATACGAATTTGTGATTATATCTAATTTTTGGTGTATTAATACATACTAATTCTGTAGAATTTTTTGACGAAATCTTATTGGCCTGAAATTTTGTAGGTCCGTGGGAAACGGCCTAGGGATCAACACTCATCGCTTCGCCATGATTTTTGAGTTCAGTTTTTGGTGTTTCAGTGTCATGCAATACGAATTTGTAATTATATCTAGGGCCATAAAATAAGAATTCAGCAAGATTTTTGATTTTCGTTTGCTAATGTCCATGCTATCTTCATGAATTCGGGCGACCGGCCTCGAATCGCCTTAATTTTTGTGGGCTCATCGGAAACGACCTAATGAATAGTAGTCATTGCTTCTCCATGACCGTTGCTCATTTTTTGGCGTTTTAGAGCCATAAAATAGGAATTCAGCAAGATTTCCTATTTTCCTGTTCTATTGTACACACCATCTTCATGAATTCGGGCGACCGACCCCGAATCACCTAAAATTTTGTGGGCCCATCAGAAAGGGCCTAATGAACAATAGTCATTGCTTCTCCATGTGCGTTCCTCGTTTTTTGGCATTTTAAGGTCATAAAACAGGAATTTAGCACAATTTTTGATTTTTCGTATGCTAATGTCCATGACATCTACATGAATTCGGGCAATTCGCACCAACTCACCTAAAACTTTGTGGGCCCATAAGAAATGACCAAATGAACTAGTCATTGCTTCTCCATGACCGTTCCTCATTTTTTGGCATTTTAGGGCCATAAAACAGGAATTCAGCATGATTTCTCATTTTTCGTGTGCATTGTCATATTTATGAATTAGGGTGACTGACCCCGAATTGCCTAAAATTTTGTGGTCCCATAAAAAATTTCTGAATAAGCCATAGTAATTGCTTCTCCATGTGCGTTCCCCTTTTGACATTTTAAGGCCATAAAATAGGAATTCAACATGATTTCTGATTTTTCGTGTGCTAGTCCACGCCATCTTCATGAATTCGGGTTACCGGTCCCAAATCACCTAAAATTTTGTGGGCTATCAAAAACGACCTAAAGAACCATAATAATTGCTTCTCGATGACAGTTCCTCATTTCTTGACGCTTATGGCAATAAAATAGGATTTTAGCACGATTCCTGATTTTTCGTGTGCTATTGTCCACACCATGTTCATGAATTCGGGCGATTGGCCTTAAATCGCCTAAATTTTTGTGGGTCCATAAGAAACGACTTAATGAACAATATTCATTGTTTCTCCATGATCGTTCCTCATTTTTGGCGTTTTAGGGCCATAAAACAGGAATTCAACACGATTTTTGTTTTTTCATACGCTAATGACCACGCCATCTTCATGAATTCAGGCGACTGTCCCCGAGTCGCCTTAAATTTTGTGCGCCCATGAGAAAAGACCTAATGAACAATGGTCGTTGCTTCTCCATGAACGTTCCTTATTTTTTAGCGTATTAGGGCCATAAAATAGGAATTCTGCACGATTTTCAATTTTTCGTGTGCTAATATCCACGCCATCTTCATGAATTCGGGCGATCGACCCCGTATCACCTTTAATTTTGTGGGCCCATCAGAAACGACCTATTACACAATAGTCAGTGCTTCTCCATTAATGTTCCTCGTTTTTTGGTATTTAAGGCCATTAAACAGGATTTCAGCATGGTTTTCCATTTTTCGTGTGCCAATGTCCACGCCATTTTCTCATCCCTTCGGGCGACCGGCCCCGACTCACCTAAAATTTTGTGGGCCCATAAAAAATTACCTAATGAACACTAAGTGGTTCTCCATGACCGTTCCTTATTTTTTTTTTTGCGTTTTAGGGCCATATAATAAGAATTCAGCACGATTTCTAGTTTTTCGTGCGCTAATGAAAACCCTATCTTCATAAATTCATGGGACCAACCCTGAATTGCCTAAAATCTTGTGGGCATATCAGAAATGACCTAATGAGCAATAGTCATTGCTTTTTCATGATTGTTCCTTATTTTTGGCATTTTAGGGCTATAAAAAAAGAATTCAGCACAATTTCTGATTGTTCATGTGCTAATGTCCACACTATCTTCATGAATTCGAGTGAACGGTCCCAAATCGCCTAAAATTTGGTGGACCCATAAGAAACAACCTAATGAATGATAATTATTGCTTCCTCATAACCGTTCCTTAAATTTTGGCATTTTAGGGCCATAAAATAGGATTTCCGCATGATTTCTAATTTTCATGTGCATTAGTCCACGCCATCTTCACGAATTCGGGCTATCGGCCTCGAATCGCCTAAAATTTTGTGGGCTCATCAGAAATGACCTAATGAACAATAGTCATTGCTTCTCCATGACCGTTCCTCATGTTTGAAATTTTAGAGCCATAAAATAGGAATTAAGCACGATTGTTAATTTTTCGTGTGCTAATGTCCATGCAATCTTCATGAATTCGGGCGACCGACCCCAAAACGCCTAAAATTTTATGGGCCCGTCATAAAAGATCTAATGAACAATAGTCATTGCTTCTCAATTACCTTTTCGTTTTTAATGTTTTAGGGCCATAAAACTGAATTTCAACATGATTTCTGATTTTTCTTGTGCAAATGTCCATGTCATCTTCATGAATTCAGGCGACCAACCACAAATCACCTATAATTTTGTGGGCCCATTAGATGACCTAATGAATGATAGTCATTGCTTCTCCATGGCTTTCTCGTTCTTGGGCGCTTTAGGGCCATAAAATTTGAATTCAACAAGATTTTTAATTTTTCGTGTGCTAATGTCCATGGCATCTCTATGAATTTGAGCTACCGGCCTTGTATCACTTAAAATTTTATGGGCCCATCAGAAACGACCTAATGAACAATAGTCGTTGCTTCTCCATGACCGTTCCTCATTTTTTGGCATTTAGGTCTATAAAACAGGAATTCAGCATGATTTTTAATTTTTCGTGTGCTAATGTCCACGCCATCTACATGAGTTCGGGCGACCGACCCCATATCGCCTTAAATTTTGTGGGCCCATATAAAATGACCTAATGAACAATAGTCATTTCTTATATATGATTGTTCATCTTTTTTTAGCGTTTTAGGGACATATAATTGAAATTCAGCATGGTTTCTGATTTTTTATGTGCTAATATCCGCACCATCTTAATGAATTCGGGCGACGAGTCCCGAATCGCCTAAACTTTTATGGGCCCATCGGAGACGGCCTAATGAACATTTGTCAGTACTTCTCCATTAACGTTCCTCATTATTTTGGTATTTAAGGGCTATAAAACAGGAATTTGTCACGACTTCCAATTTTCCATGTGCTAATGTCCACGCAATCATCATGAATTCGGGCAACCGACCCCGAATCGCCTAAAATTTTGTGGGCCTATCGAAACAACCTAATGAACAATAGTCATTGATTTACCATGATCGTTCCTTATTTTTTAGTGTGTTAGAGCCATAAAATAATAGTTTAGCACGATTTTTGATTTTTCGTGTGCTAATGTCTACGCTATCTTCCTAAATTCGGAAGACCGACCCCGAATAGGCAAAAAATTTTCGGGCTTATAAGAAATGACCTAATAAACAATAGTCATTGCTTCTCCATAACCGTTCTTCGTTTTTTGGTGTTTTAGGGCCATAAAAGAGGAATTCAGCACGATTCCTAGATTTTTGTATGTTATATCCCACCACTTCTGCATGGGCCCGGGCGACTGGATCCGGATCGCCTAAAATATTTTCGGTCCATTGAAAATGACCTAAGGAACAATAGTCACCGCCTCGCCATTTGGCATTTTAGGGCCATAAAACTAATATTCCGCCCGATTCCCAGATTATCGTGTGCTATTGCCCACACCTTCTGCATGGGCTCGGGCGACCGGACCTGGATAGCCTAAAATTTGCCGGCTATCAAAAATGACTTAGGGAACAATAGTCACCGCTTCGCCATGACCGTTACTTGTTTTTTGGTGTTTTAGGGCCATAAAACTGGAATTACGCCTGATTTCTAGATTTTCTTGTGCTATAGCCCATACTTCATGGGTCGGGCGACCGGACCCGGATCAAAAAATTTTCCAGCCTATTACAAATGGCTTAAGGAACAATATTCACCGATTCAACATGACCGCTACATCTTTTTCGGCGTTTTAGGGCCATAAAATTTGAATTCCGCCCGATTTCTAAATTTTCGTGTGCTATAGCCTACGCTTTCTGCATGGGCTCGGGCGACCGGACCCGGATCACCTAAAAATTATGTCGGCCTATCAAAAATGACCTAAGGAACAATAGTCACCACCTCGCCGTGAACGTTACTTGTTTTTTGGCCATAAAACTAGAATTCCGCACGATTTTCAGATTTTCGTGTGCTATAACACGCCTTCTGCATGAGCTCGGGTGACCGGACCCGGATCACCTAAAATTTTATCGGCCCATAAAAAATGACCTAAGGAACAATAGTCACCACATCGCCATGACCGTTACTCGTTTTTGGTATTTTAGGGCCATAAAACTTAAATTTCGTCCAATTTTTAGATTTTCGTGTGCTATAGCCCACACCTTCTGCATGCGCCCGGGCGACCATGACTATATATGAACACACAATACTAACCATGATTAATATTATTTCTTGGTGTTTCGGGGTCATAAGAATACTATGTACGGTCATATGGACCATGCTTGATCATCGAGCAAGTTTTAGTATCCAACTGATAGTTGAGGTCAAGTTTGAATATCTATTTATGTATTTTTATCATCTAACTTGTTCATTTGACACGTTTTCCACGATTGGAGTGCACTGTTGGACCCGAGATTCATCGAGACACACTTATATCAAGTTAAAGTGTCTACTTGATCATTGAGAGAATTTTAATGTCCAGCTGACATTTAAGGTCAAGTGTAAATATCTGTTATTTAAAAGGCCAAAAAAGTGTACACATGATACAATTTTATGTCATAGTTATACTTTGCCCACATCAATATTTTGCCTTAGGGTGGCAAGTGGGCCGATCCGGGCCTGGGCCCGGGACCGCGGGCCAAACGGGCTAATGCCACTACCCGGATTTCCCATCCTCGGGGTCGTGATGACGCCTACTCGTGGTAGCTAGGCAAGCCAAGAACCTTTACAAACATTAACCTATCTTGTTTTATACATGATTAAACAATTAAATTATCAATGAATAAGCAGTTAAAAGACAACG